CCTGTGATCTGGATCCCTCTCCACGTGCATCCCGAGGTAGTACTTTACCTCCCCAAGGTTCTTGCACTTGAAGTTTTCCATCAGTTGCTGCTGCACTTTCTGGATCTCCTTCATGCTGCTGCTGAAGAGAAGAATGTCGTCCACATAGACCAGAAACAGCACCAGCTTCTCCCCCTTGCCCTTGAGAAAGAGGCTCTCATCACAGCTGCTGGTCCTGAATCCCATCTCCTCTAAAACAGCTGCCAACTTCTGGTACCAGCAGCGTGGCGCCTGCTTCAAGCCGTAGATGGACTTGTTGAGCTTGCACACCCTGCCCGTACCATCCTCATACCCAGGCGGCTGCGTCATGTACACATCCTCCTCTAAAATCCCATTCAGGAATGCCGTTGAAATATCCATCTGAATGATGAATTTCCCACTAACAGCTGCATCTGCCAACAAGACACGGAGGGTAGGGGGTTTGGCAGTGGGAGCAAAGATCTCGTTGAAGTCCTGCTTCTCCTTCTGCATAAACCCCTTCGCCACCAGCCTACTCTTGTAGATGGTGACCTGCCCCTTGTCATCGGTCTTGATCCTCAGCACCCACTTGCATTGTATCGCTTTCTTCCCATCAGGCAGCACCACCAGATCCCATGTCCTATTCTCCAGCAGACTCTGGTACTCAGCATCCCTAGAAGCCAGCCACTTGTCCCTATCTGGTCCAGCTAATGCCTCCTCCATGCTAGCTGGTTCCTCTGGTGCAGGGGCAAGAAAACAGTACGCAGGCTCATCCTCCTCATCCGGGTCATAGCCATGAGGTAGAATCAGCAATGCCTCTTCGGTCCCTAGCTGCTGCTCTGCTGCATCAGTTCCTGCAGTCAGCTTCTTAGTAGCCATACGGGTACGTCCTGGCCTGGAGACGGGTGTCTCCCATCCCTTCATAACGACACCCTTCGGCTTCTTAGTTTTTCCCTGCTGCTTCTCTCCTCCCTCGGGTCCAGCAGCTCCACTAGTGCTGCCGCCAGTTTCCACACCATTTTCTCCACCAGCAGATGCCTCCTGTACCTTCTCTCCATCACCATTTCCAGCAGCTGCCTCCTCTCCCTCCTCCCACACACTAGGAGTCAGGTCCAGCTGCATGGTGATCTGCTCCATCTGCTGGGACACCCTTGCCTCCGGCTGTTTCTCCCAGCTCCCATACATCATGCCCTCAATGAATTTCACATCCCTGCTGTCAAAAAACACACCCTTGGATGGTTCCCACAGCAGCCATCCCTTGCTCTCAGCAGCCAGCCCCAAATGCACACACCAGATTGCACTCGCCCCCAACTTACTGCGGTAGGTCTTGGGGACGTGGGCGACTGCCATGCAACCGAACACCCTCAGCATGTCCACCGGCGGCTTCCTCCCAAGCCACCTCTCCAACGGCACCCACGAGTCATCCCCAACCTTGGTGAGCACCCTGTTCCTAGCGACAGTGGCGTGCCGGACAGCATGAGGCCACATAGAGTTGCTCAGCCCAGATTCTATGAGCAGCGCCCTAGCTGTCTCTAGAATGGTCCGGTTTGCCCGTTCTGCTACACCATTGGACTGTGGGGTATAAGCCGTGGTCAGCTCTCTCTGGATGCCCTGCTTCTTGAGCCAGGCCGTCATTTCAGCTCCAAGGAACTCACCACCCCGGTCTGTCCTAATCCGCTTTACTACACACTCCGCCTGCTTCTCCACGAATGGCAGCCAATCGTCCCATATCGTGGAGGTGGCGTGGTCCTTCTGCTTCAGCGGATACGCCCACATCAGCCTGCTCCAGTCATCCACAATTGTAAGAAAATACCGCTCCCCCTTGTGCCCTTGCACCGGCAGCGGCCCCACCAAGTCCATGTGGACCAGCTCCAAAGGCTTCTTGCTCCTGCCAGCCACACTATGGAAAGGGAAACGGGTGAACTTTGAAAGCAAACAGATTTCACAGTTGTCATCGGGTGGCTGTCCGTTCAGCTTCAGACCCTTAACGGCTCCATCCTTCTCCAGCTGCTTCAGCAAAGGCATTGCCACATGCCCTAAGCGCCGGTGTGCCGTTGCCCAATCTGTCTCCCCAGATCTGGCCGACACTTTCACACCAACCCCTCCAACGGCATTGCACTCCCCCTGGGATGCAGACCCCTCTCCAGCCTGCCCCCCACCATGCCACGCCAGGGCCGGCAGCTGCCACATAGATCTGTACACGTCCTTGCTCTCGTGCAGATCCCAAAGCACCCGATTGCCCAGCTTCCCCTTATAAGTGCGTGCCCCATCCGTGTTGGTGTTCACCCCAGCCTTGCCAAGCTTACGGAGGGAGATAAGGTTGGCCTTCAGGTCGGGGACGAAGAGAACGTCGTGCAGCACCACCGGCTTGCCATCCGCTCCCTTAAACGCAGCTCGTCCCGCACCAGCCACCTTCAACATGTGTCCAGAGGCGGAGCACACTTCATTGATCGGTGCAGCTCGTACTTCGTCCAGCAGGTCCTTGCGCGGCGTCATCGTCCAA